TACGACGCAACATGATTTCAGGAAACGCCGACATRTTTGCAACCATAACAATGCCATTAAGATTTTTCGCCAATGGAATTGACAATTTTTTTGTTTAAATTGTTTCACTAAAGTTGTTTAGTGATAATTGAAAGCCGTCTAAGTACCTTTATAAAAATGGAATTCACTTAAGAGTCTTTTAGTCATGGATGCTTTCAGTTTATTTAAATAGAGTTGTCAACACGTTTGCTCGCTGTCTAAAAAATGCCAAAAAAAGCTCGAATTTTTATACACTTGCAAAATTTCCTCGTTTTCACATTTGACTAAAAATATCTGGATTGCAAATACTCTTAAATAACATCCAGTCATTGTTATCCATGAATTACATAAGTTACATTGTAACTTTTTCGGTGAGGAATTGACTCATAATTTAAGCTTTTTTATGCTTTTATCTGATCTTACCTTCAAATGTTGGTGTCAGAAGTGGATTGTGTACTGAAATCAAAATTTAAGCCAAGCTAATCGAAATCCMGGCTCGATGGAGGACCTTTTCGGCGACTTTCAGTCTGATCTCATTAGAACTATCTCCAGATTATCTTCAGACATGATAGCGTTTCAAAGTGAACCTAATTTTGCGGATAAACTCAATTCCAAGGTGATTTAAAAAGCAAGAGTAACGTACTTGACTTGAGGGTTAAAATATCGTCCTACAATTGGACAATTATTGCACGACGTCCATTCAACATTCACTTATGGACAGCTGTATCCAAATGCTCTAAGCTTCTGCTAATTTGCATCTTAGCTGAAACAGCAGAGTGTTAACAGCAGCTAATCCTGGACTCTATATACCCCAAACCATTATAACCAGTCATATCTATCTTACTAATCGCAAATTCATGATATCAGAAACTTCTCGAAAGCAATAATAACCTAAATTGGCAAAATTAAAAAAGTCCCAAAATTGTAATTTTTGATAGAATGAGTTGGGACTTTATTGTTTATTTTTTCGGCCCACATTTCGTACATAATTTATGAGATTTTCGGCTTTATAATTATGCGATTAGGATATAGGATTACTAACCTAGAATTTTGACACCTTTATCTGCTAATGAACCTATCACAAATGGGTCGTATTTAGTTTATGAGAGCGATAAACGTGTKTAGGTCTTGCAAATCCCTAGCTTACTTGAACGATGATCTCGTTTGTTGTTCCGGATCGGTTTCGGCTCAATCGGTTTATCGTGAATAAGTGGAGTAAATTGGTTGGTTGAGCACCGCCTGATGAAGGCATCTTAACAGTCACTAACCGCAAATTGGAATACGTTTAACCCACTATACATTCCTACTGACTGTCGGTCAGCTAAAGCCTTCCCCTGCTAACGTCTTCACCGTTCCTTCTTATAAACACAGCTAATGTAAAAATCACGAAGATTCTATGAGTTTTCAGTTTATCATTACGTATATCCCCAAACCCGTGCATCACGAGTTTGCTATGAAGCCCACAGATGACGCAAGTGATACAATRTCTAGCTATTTTGATTCGTATTTTTCATAAAGTTTTCAATACCATGTAGCTCTTGTTATGTTTTTTTGTGTTTTTAATTAAATCCCTCAAGCCAAACTGTTTTCCTAGTATAACTGAATAAATTATGAAGTAGGAATTTTATAATGGAATGGACGTCAACATTTTGTCTTTGCCTGTCAATTCCAATCTCGTTGAAGTCTTTTAAAAGGGACATGTTCCACCAGCATTCAATGCGGTCGCGTTTTAGATTTTTCATATATGGAAAAGGAGGTATCTTAGAATATCTATTCGAGGTCCGTTTCATCCATCGGTTTAAAGGTCGATTCTTGCAATATTTCCTTTCATATAGTATAAAGGGATAATAAAGAGAAAGTTTTTGGTTATATTACAATGTTTTTTTTTATATTTTTAAACATGAGCAAAAGCTCGAAAGGGATGCTGGTGGACCATGCCCCTTTAAAGCTAAGTCGACCGTACTGTAATAAATTCTGCGTCTATTGGAGGGGGCGTGGGTAGGTGTCACGAGGTTCGACGCMTCCTTAAGTATGGATTTTAAATTTTCTAGGTGCATATTCAATAGAACCTACTAATACAGCGAACTGATACTCTAAAAATAATCTACTTCCGTTTGTACTTCACGCTGACCGATTTATCACGGTCTCAATACTCCAGTTTCGAATTCTCTTCTTTGCAACCTTAGCTTCAATCAAGCATAATTTTTTATTGTCTTCTTTGTACACAGAGTGTTTGCATTGCAATAAGATATCTGCTGAATTAAAGAATATATTACATGCTTTCGAGGTTAAGGCTGCTCAAATAAGATCTCGAAACTTGAGTTATCAGCGTTTTAGAAGGGGGAATTTAGAAGTTCTAGCTACCATATTTTATAGWAATTGCTGACATAGGTAACAGATGCTCCAAAAAATATACACTTTACAGCGATTTTCGAAAAAGTGCTATAAAGAGAAATATGTCGACAAATGGAAAAATAATATGCACAATAAAAATAAAGGAAGTGTAGTACACTATCGTGTATTTCACAAGAGTGTTTTCCCCCTTCAAACCTCTGAAACACATTTAAAGGGACATGGTCCACCAGCATCCCTTTCGAACTTTTGCTCATGTTTGAAAMTAAAAAATACATTGTAATATAAGCAAAACTTACTCTTTATTACCCCTTTATGCTATATGAATGGAGATATTGTAAGATTCGACCTTAAAACCAATTGATAGAAACAGATTGCGATAGGATATTCGAAGTCACCTTATTTCCATATATGAAAAATCTAAAAGACGACCGCATTGAATGCTGGTGGTCCATGTCCCTTTAAGTGCATTACAGTCAACTCATTAAACTCGAGAAACAAAATTTGACTATTAAAGTGTGATAAATAGACACAAAAGAAAACAATGCAATTAAGGCGTACCAAAGTGTATTAGYGTAATAACTATTTCAACTAAATCGTCTTAGCACTATCGCGTCACGTGGTAGAATTTTGACCAGTGATAGCGAAGGAAAATTTGTTGTTGAATTTATTAACATCCACAGTTGAAAAGCCCGATATCCCTCCTTATTAAGAAAAGTGAGAAATGCTCCGCTACACCCCATCAAATCCCATATCAGTCAAGCGGAAGCAATTAACAAAATGTTGGATAGCYTGAAAATATTGGATGGTGTTTGATCCAGTATTTTATTTTGATTGATCGGAACTTTACGTTCATCTTTAGAATAAATGTATTGATCATTTTCAACCATTTTCATTAGATTCAAAAGATAAAAGACCGGCGGCCATGTTGGATTAATGAACAACAGATACTAATAAGAAATCCTTTGTTCAAGCTCAACCAAGATGGCGCCTGCTGTGATGTTAATTGTAAATGAAGAACYGACTAGATATGGGTAGTGTTTGTGGGTATATGCTAAAATAGAGTTATGATATAGCGAAGGTAGATTCTGTTATCAAACGAAATTACTCTATTTTTGAGTCAAAAGGTATAGTTATATTAGTCAGTTATAACTCTTTTTTATAAATAACTTAATTTAGCTTCAGCAATTATGGCTTATCTTTTATTTCAAAGAATAAAACTGGATTCGACAATAAACTTTATTTTTCCTATTTTATTGAMGAAATTGAATTTCTAAATAATATTGAGCCATTATAATCACTGTCAGATCGACAACGTTTTTTTATGCTTAAGGTAAACAATTTGTTTCAAAATTAGAATTGCTACTCTTAATACAAGTCATATGCCATGGCAGTTTGAACTGAACTGTTATAATGTAGTCAATCAATCACTTTTTGCGTGTTTTTGCATAAGAATGTTTACACTATAGATGTTGGTTCGACTTTTAATTAATCGTCTTTAATACCTATATTCTAGAAATGTATAGAAATATATACCTGGTTTCATAATTGTCACTCCTCGCAACCTTTATTTTAGCTGCTTAAAACGATTCACAAGAGATCATACTGTGAATAATCGTATTTAAAGCAATTTTWAGAGGGGACTCCTGTGAGAACGTCATTGTCATTGTGTAAATAGTGTCCTTGAAGAGCTGTCTTTTTGAATTGAAAATCCCAGTACCTATTTGAAATAGTCTCAAGTTGACTATCCTCTTCCAATCGACAATCTGTCATCGTTATTTCTGTCCAAGTGGCAATTGTATRGCTATTTTTGGACCAAAATGAGTGCTATGAAATTTAATTTTAAGAGTAAAATTTAATTGTTAAAGATGTACCGTGGCGAAAGCACAAAGGCAGACATGTCAAACGCGGGGAAAATTGTTAAAAAAGAAGGSATATCWATAAAAACACACCGCAAAACATGGARACCCGTATTGAAATGATTTAAATTCAATACCATACTCTAGACTGTAACGCGTTTTGGGTTATTTTTCTTTAGAAATACAAAACCAATTAGTTATCTTGAGCCAATTACTCTAGACAAGCAATGTTTCAAATGCATACAAATTTATGCAAAAATTGAAAAAAAAGTCGTACAATTATTTTATTTGTGAAAATAATGTACAAAGATTGTGAAAATCGTACTCCTCATACTCTGCATTCAAGGATTTCTGAAGGATTCCCTAAAGATTTTATCTGGAGACCTATGGTGAAACTAGGTCGCAAAATGCAGCGTRATAGTTTCATTCTATATATGTATGATATATGTACTACCAACATTTAATTCAAACGTTGGTTATTAGGGCCGCTATATATACACCTCAAAATGAGTTATACAAATTTAAAAGAAGTAGAAAAAAAAGGTGGAAAAAGGGTGAGAATTTCACTTTCATCTAGAAGCAAATATATGAGGTGATAAAAGTTATCCTTCTTACAAATGTGATAATAAAGACTTTAATAAAGCTAAACCCATATAAGAAACTGAGGAATATGACTGGTAAGATCAAACTAGAGTATTATGCACGTTATAACGTTATAATCTCTTCGTTGAAGTGTTCGTACCAAATAGAATATTTACATAAGTTACCTACCTCGCTCGATCCTGGATTGAATGCATCTTGATTACAGCTTGAAATCAGCTGAAAGGAAACRAGAAACTCTATGTTTGACATTCTGGTGGTTTGTTGGCAAGATGTAARGACCAGGACGCTCAGTCTCCGTAAATTAATCGATACTTTCACGTAGAATACGTTAGTACAGTTCTAATGACGATAAATAACTTGTAGKGGTTCAACTACTTAGGAATATTTTGAATATTGATGTTTTGGACGTGTTTAATTGGACACTAGATAACCCAGGACGGTCTCTTTGAATTGTCACTTCAAATGATAATTGTACGCAAACTCTTTGTCATTTCAATATATGTCAGCTGTGGAAGAAACGAAAGRGAAGATGTACTAATTTTTAAATTGTTAACCGTTAGAGGACGGTAGTCTAAAAAGATGGGGCATAAGTGTCATGTGATAAGTTCCAGGGTGCCTAAGACAACAGACTTCGTGACGTGTGACATTTCCGTGATTCGGGCCAGAATAAGTTCGTGATAACTTGAATAGCAACGGAAAATCAAGCTGTATCTCGTGATTTTTACCTTAATGTGTTCCGTGACTTGGGACATGAAGTCTATTATTACTGTTTTGTTAAGTGACATTGTTAATAAAACTGTCCGATGAGGATTGACGCACAAACCCCCCCTTACCCTCCCCCATCCTTTCATTTTTTTTTCATTTTAAGCTGTTTAAAATAGCATGGCCAAGCGGCATCTTTACTTCTTATTATGTTTTGAAATACAAATACATAGTAAAATAAGCRAAAACTTACTCTTTAATATCCCTTTTATGCTCTATGAATGAAGATATTGTACGATTCGAATTTAAAATGGAATTCGATTGCAAATGGTTATTTGAAGTTACTTCTTTTTTSATATGTTTTAACATTAAAATGTCTAAAACAAGAACACACAGGATGGACAATGATCCTTTCCAAAGATTGAAAAATTAAAAAAACATGCACAGATGTCTCTTGTACAATAATGCAATAGCTAAAAAAATGATCTAATTCCATTGTTTTCTTTTATTTATATTTGACTATTTCAAATTGACTATTTTAGATTCTGTTTCATTGGGTTTGCAATGGTTTTGTCAACGGTTAATGTATTAGGAACAATGACATCTCTTTGAGCGTAAAACAAAACAACATAGTTACAGAAGAAGCAACCAGCAATTAAAAAAAAAAGAAAAAAAGCGCGAAAAAAGCGCGCCTTCATTGTATAATTCTACTAGCGGTGCTAAACAAATACTGTACACAAATAATGGTTGACAGAAATGGTTGTGGTAAAGTTSATCTTCCGCAGACGCAGGCCGAAAAAACAGTCACACTTTCAAAACCTAAAGCTTTCACGTTCATTTAGTGGGAAATGCTAGTAACGAATTGGTCAATGCATACTTGGGTGGTTAGGACGCTACCTTGGATATGCAATAATTGYGGCTTCACAATRAATTGTCTTTAGCTCAGCTGTTTTGAAATRTTGTACKTACTTTGTAATTCATGTTTTGCTCAACTAAATTCAATTTCAGTTATACAAACGTTATCTTTTTACATAACTGTTTCTTTAGAAACACCGA